ATACATATCAGGAGTACAAGATGAACTTATCTGTGTGCCTTTGCAGGATGTTCTCTACACCATTTGTAACAACTGTGGTCCTGTACAGAGAATTGTCATCTTCAGAAAGAATGGGGTGCAGGCCATGGTGGAATATCCTTTCAATAATTGCCTTTTTATTTGGCCATGTTTTTCTCCCCACTATAATTGTACAATTTGTTGATGTTTAATTAACTTGGGTCCTCAGCAGTCTTCATATAATCAGACCTCACCTTAACTCATTGCTGCCACATTTGATTCGGTCCAAAGTGCTCAAAGGGCCAAAGCCTCTCTGAATGGGGCAGACATCTATTCTGGCTGCTGCACTCTAAAGATTGAGTATGCCAAGGTAAGTGTATAGCAGTGTCTAATCAGCTTTTGTACCTGTTGACTTGAGATGAGTTATGAAAGGAAACTGGTTTTGATTTTTGTAATGCAATCACATTCACAGCCAGCACGCCTTAATGTCTTCAAGAATGATCAGGACACGTGGGACTATACAAACCCCAACCTCAGCGGCCAAGGTAACATGCAGTCCCCAACCCTTTCTTTCCCCTTTTTTCTTCCTCTTTTCTTCTCATTCCACTGTATGGGATGGTAAGGGTTCTCTGCCTCCGGGGATATTGCCTTTGATCACAGAATAACGGTTTCTTCAACTGTCCACCATGCTACTCAACTCAGTGTTCACAGGCAGTATTCCTGTGATGCCTTCACAGTCTATATGCATTTTCTCGCCACACAGCAGGCTCAAAGTAAGGGCATGAGGAGCAACCTCAAGGGCAGCCAATTACACACTCATGCATGTGAAAAGCCCAATGCAGCCGTCACAGTAGCTTATGCAGGCGCACCATTCTTCACATAGGTTCACGTTCCCTAGAAAGCATGTCACAGATACACAACCTCACACCCCTGTCTAGGGTTGGGCCGGTGTAAACATTTTCAAACCGGTTTGATCTTAAGAGCCGGATCTGACTGAACTGGTATACCCAATTTTACCAATAGGTGTCGCACTTGACTTAGCTGCCGCCCCCCAGTGGAACAAAACCCAGTTTCCACCGAGCAGTGTGGTAAGGTTCAGTTTAGTTTGGTACGCTTTTTTTTCCGTTTCCACAGTGAAAAGTTGTGGATGGTACCAATGGAACCATTCTGTACCGCCCCAATTTTTGGTAACCTTTCTGATGGGTACTTAGCACACAGATCTGGTACTAAAAGGTAGAGCTGTGAACACTGCAGTCCGCTGATTGGTCAATAGTGGGCGGTCACTCTGCTCAGGGCTGAGATGTGGAGATTTTTATTACTAATCTTTAAAATGAAAAGCTGTAGTGTGAGGGAAAAAAAAATAATTCACTGGGCCAACCACTGGCAACTTTTAAGGCAGAACATTTATTTGTAATGCCACTCGATGCATGAGGTGAGGACGTGAATCAGTCAACACACCTCGTTGATTTGACCTTTAGTTTTTATATTACATAGACTTTTAGTAATGAGTGGATCTTCAAGCGTTTATATATATATATTAATTTCATCTGGATTATGTGAACTGCATATATCCCAGTCCTCACTCAGAGAAAAAAAAACAACATTGCGGAGCGTTGTTCCTGTGGGCTCTGGCAACACTAAATTCCTGAGCTTGCTTGAGAAGGATTAGATGCACAGACCCGCTCTTTTTAAATATCTCATAGAGACTTTCACTCCAGCCTGTTTTATTTTGTTTAGAAAATGTTGGCATTCAACCCAGTTCTGTGGACGATAAATGAGATGCAGACTTACATCTGTGTCACCAGTAATGAGAAAATACAGTGAGTGATGGAAGGAGCAGTGAGTGACAACAACCCTGCCCACACAAAGACTGCTGTTTGCAGTGGAAATGCTAGGGTCTAGGTACCATGTTTGAAGGGCTACTTTTGGTTCCACAGGTACCATACCGAAAGTGTTTGGTGGAAACGGGGCTATAATTACACCATGTCCTGACACCAAACAAGCGTCAGACTATAACTACCACGACAACTCCATCGTGTAACATCGGAGCTCTCTATCCACATTGAATTCATTTAATGTGCACTTCAGTCATGTTATGTAAACGAACCATGTAGGCTACCTATCAGCTGTGCATTAGAGATCATACTGTAGAGGTTACCACTTAAAAGATAGGTGAGTAGCCCACTTGCTATCTTCCTTTGTATTTTTTAAACAGAAAACATGTTTTATATTGTGATATTTACTGGAAATGACATAGAATATAGCCAGCCACAATTAGGTTGTTATTATTGATGTCCTTTACCTTACCAGAAACAAAGTTCCCTGGCTATCTCCCTCCTGCCACATTATTTAGGTTTTTGTAGTGAAATGAGGTAGTATGCTATAGATAACTCCTCACTTCAACAGGAATAACTAGAAACAGGGCCTCCAACAAAAGTCTGCATCATTTGTAGCCAGTTAGCCATGCTTATGTTAATCATATTGTTTATATAGCTCATTACTTATGCAGTACACGTGGGATGTAGTGCCGTGACGCCATCAGCACAGTTTGCTTATGTAGGCTACTTTTTAATTTGCCAGAACGTGTTATTATGACAAACGCCGGTTCAACCGGTTGGCATAAAATCAAACCGGTTTCAGCTTGTACACCGGCCTGGACCGGCAAAACCTGAAATCGACCCAACTCATCCCCTGCCTACTATACACTACAGAGACTATCACACCTGTAAGCATTCCTTCAAACATAGTGGAGATTTTATCATAGCTTCTATTAGACATTGCACCAGCGAGCTGAGTTGTGAGACCACTCGGCACACCTCTGGTTAAAGGTCCCATGAAACGACTCCTGAGATTTTAAACATTTTCCAGGCATTGATGTACAGAACAAATATTTGTGCTTGATGGAAGGACTTCATGACCCTGCTTTTATCTGGTATCAACTTGTGTCTTGGGTGATCGTGTCACAAGTGGACACCTCTGAGTACAGGTGTGAGTGCACCCACTGCATCTTGAGATCTCATTGCTCAGACTACATTCGGAGGTGTGCTGGGCTGTGTATGACTACATTGTTTCAGTAGCATCTACACTTAAGTGTCCTAGGCCACAGTGAAGGTCCGCCTACTCAGCCCCCGGTTGACACACACAACTGTCAGTTATGACGTCAAAGCCACTGTTTACAGCATTAAATAACTAATTAAAGCTCTTGAACATACATCAGTGATAAAAACTACCTAAAATGACAGAAACCATCATTTTGGCTCTACTTTTGCGGAGTTGTCATGTCATCCATCCTTGTTATACAGTCATGGGTTTAGATGCAGTGCTAAGAGACTGTCTCTGGAGCCACTCTCCACTGAACGGTCAGTCAAACATCTTCCTGGACAGCAAAAGCTAACATTACAACAGCTGTTAAACAGTCCCAACAAACACACATCGACTTTGTCATTACACTTGATAATAATTGTTTGGTATTAATACCTGTATGATGCTAACAGTTAGCCTTGTCACTGTGTGTGTTTGTGGGCAAACTCTCTCCAGCTGTACCCAGCATGGAGATCACACTCCTGCAGCAGTAGTCTCCTATGATGGTGAATAAAATGGTATTGGCCATGTGTTTATTTGCATATAGAGCCAGGAAGTGAGAGCAGGTCATAAGAGGTCACACAGAATGCTTGTGGAGACACACACTAATGGTTATGGTGTAAAGCTGTCCAGTTTTAATCTGATCACCCAAGAAGCATGTTAGCACCAGATATACACAGGCTCCATGATGTCTGGGCTTGGGTTTGAGAGTAAGGTGCATAAGGAGCATTATGATCAGCAGAGACAGCAGGTGCTGATGCTGGCATCTCAGCTTGCAATTACATTGTTAAATGGATGATGTACGTCCCAAATACATGATTATTTATTCATAAAAAAGGACACTTAGCAATAATAAAAAGCGTGGGGATTTAGTATAATGATGGATTAAATTATTTGGTATGTTTTGCATGTTACCATTGATGGTGGAACAACAGATCTGGGACACAAGAACACTGCATTTCGTGGGACCTTTTTCATATAAAACATATCTTAGAAACAAACTTGATAGTGTCATTAATATTTTAAGCTTTCAAATAAGTATTTGTAGTTGCAACAAATTGTATTGTTTGAAGATTCAGTAATGAACTTTGGCAAAGACCAAATGATGCGGACATAGGTTTATAAAGGTAGGGATTACATGATTTGTTAGCAGATACATGTTTTGTTAATGTAATGCTACAATAAAATGTTTATAAACAAGAACGCAACAATCTAGATCATTGCATGCCTAAAACCTCCATGTAAGGAACTTAGTCAGCCACTTGGCATGTTGTGGTTTATTGTTAATTAATAAGATTTTAGGGTATGGGAAGGAGAAGACGTTACTGCATTCCGTATTTGCCTTAGATTCTGTGTGGTCAGCAACAAGATTTTGCTGTGATTTTAAACCTGATTACAGACAGTTATTTAAGTGTATCTATATAGAGAACATTTTTTATTTCATTTTATTTTATTTTATTTTTTGCCAAACACTGTAAAAGTACGTAGTCTTTTTTTCTTGCACGCAACCAGGACGACAACATGTACATTTCAAGTTCTATACAGGTGTTTGACATTTTTCTTGATATTCTATAGTATGTACTGCCTTGCAAACCAGAGGTTCTCCTTATGTCCTCACTGTGCAAACTCATACAGGCTTACTTCAACCTCTAAGCAGACACAGCGACTTCTACAGCTACAGTATAACAGCACCCACAGCCACAACTAATGTAAATCTACTCTGTGGCATACATCGGACACAGTGGGGCAACAAATACCGGAACACAACCTCAACTCACTACTTCCTTATTCCAAGTCCATCATCACCCTATCTTCACCATCTGACATGGGAGTCATTTTATTTTTGGTGGTGGACAGTAGCCACCAATTCAGTGTGAGGGACAGAAATACGGCAAGGCCACGCAAACAGACACCTCGCATATCCACCACAGACTGACGTTGATAGATTGATAAGCATCTACCACCACCTCTTTACCAGTACAGCACATCTCATCTGCAGAGCCCCGAGGAGTCACCACTTTTGACACAACACATTGATGATGAGGGCGGGAGTCAGGTGTGTGATCATTGTGGCCACGCCTCCTAGCCCTTGGGATGTGCCTGCCACAACACAACCACAGGGAGCAACAGAGGAGTTTTCAGACACATTCAGCCCAACCAGGGAACAGATGATACCACATACTGGGGCAGTAAACAAAAAAGAGGCCATTTCTTTCTCAGGTGCTATATACCGCTCGTCTCTACCTTCCTGTGCCGAACACAACACGACAACACAACGAGCTGAATATCCACGGCAACACACAGCTGAACTGCCACGACAGCACATCTCCACGCAGCTATTCCAGATGATTTATTGTCAAGCACTAGATGCCTTTCCACTTTGCAAGTGGCTGACAGCTATTAAACCAAATAAGCAAGCATCATTTGAGCGTCCATTTTTACATGAGAAGAAATATCCACGGGG